TCAGCTTCATGGTCATGGTAGGACACTTCTTTGATTTTACTTTGGAAAATCTTTTGGCAATGAATCTATAAAGATTTGGAACAAAATCTTACAAAATCTTGCAAATAAATATCTGAATCCTTTCAAGTCAAGTATTTATTCATTCAATTTCAATCAATTAAATTAAGACAGCATAAATAATTTTCAAAATCTGAAAAAAATTTGCGTTTTTTTTTCAATCTCTGCACGCAGCTTCAGCTGACACTGTACAACAAAACCGCAGGGTTTAATCGTACAGTGTGAGTTCACCGCTCACGATGCATGTTCAGCCCGACGCCCTGATGCAAGCTACCTGCTCACACTGTACGATTAAAAACTCGGACGTCGGACTCAGCTCTGCAGTGAGATGGCGCTACTCGGACTCCTCTATCCGGAAGCCAAAAGAGTAGAAGATGAATATGAAGCTCACTAGAGTGAAACGTGCTGCCTTGGCTATTTGTGCAATTTTGTGATGAGAGCCCTAAAAAGTAAAGGCAACAACGTATTTGGACAAAGTCATGGCTGAGCAAACGTGGCTACTACGGTCTGTCAGTTTTACAGAAAGAACTCCATTTCACTCGTACCCCCGCCATGCTTCTGTGTTTACATCTGAGAGGAAGAAGAATACTTGTTTGCGCACTAAGCGATTTGCTCACGGCGGCCGACTGAATTTCAAACATGTTTGGCTTTCTCCCGACCTTACAAGTCCTGATCAGGAGGTGGTCGTGAGAGGCTGATCGCCCCTTGTTACCCCCTGTACACTACATGACGCACGATCAGGCTGAAAGTTTACCCGATCGAAAAATTCTCGCAGGACTGGAAAGTCGCCCCAGTTATGTGCTTTGGGCACATCATTATTTTTAATTCTTTTTTCTAGATAGTTTAATATTGACTTTTAGTTTAATACATTTTTGTTTCGTATGTTTTGGAGTTACTTTTTTCCCCCCGGTTAATTAGTTGCTGTTGGACCGCCTATAAATGGGCTGGGTTTTGATCTTTGTCTGTCCTTGCTAGCTCATTCATAAAGCACACCTGTTTCCAGCTGCTGTAGGCCACAGCCGACACCTCCGACCTGCCATGCAGTGTTTTTGTTAGCCTTTGCCTGAAAGCTGTGTTCGTTTTGCTTTCTGCTTGGTGGGACCAGTTGTCCTGTTTTCGATCCTTTATTTTTCTTTAGTAGTGTATTTTTTGTAGTCCAGTACTAGTAGGGGCTTCGACGGCCTTGTATAGGGTTGGCCCCCTGCTGTACTGTTTTGTTGTTTTTGTTCGGCTCACCAGGTCCAACGTTCTGCTAATACTTTGTTTTGTTTTATTCTTTTTTTTCTCTTTTCTATTTTTGAACACAGAAGCTGAGGATATTTAATTCTGTTTCTTTTCTTTTCTCTCTACAGAACATCCCCACAGCTGTCTTGAGAAAGAGGGTTTTTGAAAGAGAGTAAACTACAGAATAAATAAAAATGTATTATTTTGTACCCTCTGTTTTGTCTGTGTCCTCTAATATGTTCTGCCCTTGTGGACGTAACATCCTGAAAAGGGCAAAAAAAATTGCAAAGTGTAAGCCCCGCTTTACAAATCCAAATACATTAGAATTGGTCTGAAAATGATATAAGCTTAAATAAAATTGTATAATTTTACTCACCTTTCAAATATTCATTTAGAGTATTTATTTTATAAATCTCTAAATGAATACTCTTGATATTGATCAGAAAGCTTCTATTGGCTAATTTAATGTAAGCTAGGCTACATGCTGGCAATGAATGAGTTAAAACTATCTAACAGGTCCACCAAACTAAGCCATTGACCATTGATCAGACGACACGCATTCTGCAAGTCACACGAGGGACCTTGCAGTCAGATGTCAACATTCAATTCATTTATGACCACTGGCCAAACATTTACATCACATTTGGCAGTTCTTTAAACATAATAATCTTACATATGTCTTAAATTGCTTAATTAAAATGCATTTTTAAAATCTTCTATTCTCTCCTCCGGGTTTCATCTGTGCCGAAACTGACCTCCCCTGTCATGCGAGCGTGCATCGCCCTAAACTCACGCCCATTAATGAAAAAACAGATTCAAATATGAAGGAAAAGCAAAATTGTAAACATATTCATAATGTTACTACATTTCTTATACATGGAAGCCTTAAAAGTTATAGTTTTGATGGACAGATACATTGGAATTAATAGGATTTTACTTTGATGGAGACGTTTCAGTCGATGTGCTACAGTCAGTGTGCGATGAATAAATTCTCTGTTCATGGGATGCCAATTCCCCATTTTGCAATCAACACCATTCTAGGTCATCAAACGTACAACCTGGAACCTGCTGAAGATTCCCTCCCCTCCTTATTTTCACATTTATTGTCCCAGACTTATGAAATTCATACCAAAATCACATAGAGCAGTTATGATTATCTGGAGAAACTTGCATAATTGCAAACACATTATTTCTCAAACTAAGCAGGGGATTCCTTCCCCTCCTTATTTTCACATTCCCTCAAATAGCGTTGTCTTTACCGCTTGGCCACTGAGGTTGAAAATGAAATTGCATGTGCCTTCTGGGCCACCGTATTTTGGTCAGGCCACTCGTAAGCACACAGTCTGCCAAATGTTGAAAAGGCAACATTATTGCCATTACTGTTAATATATAATAGACATTACACATTCAGTGATAAAATGTCACAGGGGATAGTATGGGATGATTGACAGCTAAGAAGGGGGATGATTTGGGGCGTGCAGGTGGAGCAGTGGTTAACGAGCATGACCCATGTACGGAGGCCTTTGTTCTCGAAAATCTCAACAACAAAATAAAAGAAGGGGTATGTCTACTAATGCTCACACCTAACAATTTAGGCCCCGTCCACACAAAGTCAAACCCTGGCCTAAACGCACACATTTTTCACCAAACCAGCCTCTCATCCATACGAAGCCGGCGTTTCGGGGGTCTGTAAACGATCTTTTTTCTATTCAGCCTTCAGAGTGGGAAGATTTTGAAACGCCGTTTTCGCGTTTCCATCTTTAAGCTCTAACCGCATTTTTTTTCTTACACGCATGCGTCATAGCGTCGCCTCTAAACACGCATGCGCGACACAGTATCACAACAACAATGGCGCCGTACTGTGTTGAATGGTTGCTGCTCATGCTACTCACCCTGCTGTCGGGCTTACAACAGAATCTTCTTCTTCTGGAATATCTCCAGGAAGAACAGAGCAATATAGACGACATAGTTCAGCACCTGAATTTGACTGAACTACGAAAATGGACCCGCAGGGCAACCATGTATAAATATTAGTGCGCATGCCCAACATTTCGTCGCTTATTTTTGCTTTGGCCCCACAGCGCCAGTTACAGGCCTGGCATACATTTTGCAGCGTTTTCATGCATTCGTGTGGACGCTCACATTTATTTTACGTCTCCGTCTTTACGACAAACGTTCTGGAAAATATTAGCGTTTCGTGTTCGTTTTGACTTCGTGTGGACGGGGCCTTAGAAAGCCTCTTTAATCTTAGTGTCATGCTAGTGGATTGGTGGAGGGGAACCTGAAGAGAACCCATATTTACATGGAGATAACAAACTCCATGCAGAAAGGCCCCAGGCTAGGTTTTAATCCAGGACCAGCGCTAACTACAGCAGACAGAGGCCAGACCCTCTGATGGTTGGATGGAAATATTCTGACACACATTAGATTCGTCTCTTTGTTTTGCTGCTTTTTGAAGCTCTGATGCCATTGATTGTCTGTTCCAGGAAATGGCAGGTGATGTCATTTCCCAAAGGACCTGACCAATCATTACGTATATCATTAAACAATGCTTATGGGATGGAGTGGGGGGTGGGGGTGACAAATGGTCAACAAAAATTTCCGTCTACAGAAAGAATCCCTGTTAAATAATCCTTTTTAATCAGTAACTGTTGGGCCTGATATGTCGCGTTTAGCTCTTCTTACTAGGTTAGAATTATCTTCTGAATTAAAAGCTTCCAACAAAGAAAAAGTCCTTTAGTTAGCCTTAGAATTGGTAAACACTTTACCCAGGAGCAGAGATAGATGCAGAAGAATTGATTCTGTAAAGTATCAGTTTATCAAACGCATTTAACTATGTGATATTATCATAACTCTACTTTTCAAACTATGGAAATATGCAAGATAAACAAATTAGTATAACTAAATAAAAAAAAGAGAAAAAAAAAAAAGTCCAGCTCCATGGCCGTGCATCGGATCAGCCTCGTCTAACTTTTTGGCCTCATCAGAAATGTTCAGACAGAGGAGCATCTTTTTTCTTTGTGTTATTTCTGCCAGCTTTCACACAGATCGACTGTCGGTTCAATCAATCTACCCAGGAAGTCAGATTGTGGTCAAAGAAAAGAACGCCACATGTTGGAGGGATGGAAAATACTTTGATGCCTGCAGCGTTGCACGGTTTCAGCCTTCATCAAATTGTCCCAGGGTCAGACCCATTTACTGCATATCTCTGTCCTAGTTACTGTCAATTCAAGGGAACCAGAGTCACAAAACAGCACAAACCTTCCCTGATGTGCTGTAATCTCATAGCTCCAGTCATGCTGTCTGATCACATCAACTAGACTTCAGAAAAATTCATATAAACATTCATTAAAAAGTAAAAGAAACAATTCAAAATAACTCCAATACATCAGATATCAATTAGTTATTTTCAAAATGATGTTCTGTCTTTTTTAATCCGTTTTTTGTGGGACAGACACACAGACAGACAGGTTGATGGATGACTAGATAGATGGATGGATGCCCAGATATATTTATAACATGATATCAAACCGGAAAAGAGTAAAAATAAAATCTTGACGTCAGATTTCTGATCATTCCTGACTGCGTTCACCTCTCAGTGTGTAACCAGGAACCAAAGTGGCCTGTCTACCAGCTGTTTTGGTTGAATGATGTAAACCTTTTAACTAAATCCTCCTCCTCCTCATCATCAACATCATCAGCATCCAGTGGAGTCTGACCTTCTCTGCATCCTGCTGCTGCCGTCTCTTCTCCTCAGCTGCGGCTCGGCGCTGCTGCTCCTTCCTCCTCTGCTGCTCCATCTTCCTCCCTCTCTCCTCGGCACAGCGCTCCAGCTGCTGCTGCGCGCGCCGCTCTTTATCCTGCAGCACCATGGACAGCTCTGGTGGACACGCAATATAAAAACATTCATTATGATCCCTGACCACATGATCAAAATCTTTTAGCTTTTTTACTTGAAAAACTGATCAAAATATCCACCATAACTTAAAGCTAAAAGGGTTTCTATCAGTTAAATATTTTTTCTAAGCTTTTAACAAAGACTATTAAATAAAAATTCTTAAGGTTCTTTTTTGTGCATTGATTCTCAGTGTTTTTGTGTGGGAGTTTATGGAAATGACATCTGTTCCTAAAGAGCTCCACCTGCTGGAGAATTGAACACTGGAAATAATCAAAATGTAGATATTTCATATTTTCCTTGAAAAATGTGCATTTGTTCTTGGATTGTGGAGGTAAGAGATATTTTGCCAATGGAACATGATAATTTACATTTAAAATAAGGACACTTAATTGCAATTTCTTATTTCAAGTGCATACTATCTAAATATCTTATTTTAAGCGTAAAAAATACTATTTCCATTAGCAGATCATCTCATTTACCTACTCATATTAATGGTAAATACATTTAATTTATGCTTAGTTCTAGATTGTTTTTGCAGTGAACACACCTTTTTTTTTCTCTCCGTCCTCTTGTCGTTCTTTAGATAAATTCAGCCGAGAGCCTAAAGACATGTAAAAAAGATTCATATTTATTAATTTCACCTTCTCCAAGTATTCAAAATCTTAATTTTAAATACTTGGAGAATTATGAAAATCTCCTAATGAAATAACTCTAATGAGATGCATTACTTGAAGCAAGCTCTGAGTCAAATGTAGGAAAGAATACATGGAAGAGATGTTAACCTGTAGGACTGGAAGGTGACAGAGCAGGAGATCCGTGCCTCCTGCTGTGCAGCGACGCAGGAGGAGGAACCAAAGCTGTGATTTAGAGAGGAAGACGTGTTAGAGCGGCCAGGAGGCAGAAACATCTAAGAACAGGAAGCCATAACATAACATCCACCAGGCAAACAGAGATGCTGTCAGTCAGTTCTGGTTGAGGTCAAGTGTCAGGCTGAGCTGTCTCTTCGGCGACCCTTGGAGCATAACCTCCTGCTCCTCCCTGTAATCTTTTGCAACTCCTGACGTGGAATCAGCCGGGAGCATCCATCGACAGATAGAGGCACGCTCATCAACCACTAAAGAAAGGCTCTCAGCCCAGTCATCAGATATACAAATATATGCAAATCTCAGTTTAGTCCCAAACCTGGTTCAGATTTAAATAACTGCAAGACAAAAATTATATAACAGGATAAAAATTGAATAATTACTCTAATGTAGTGTGATTTGATTTCATAACAATAAACTGACTTATAACTCTGAAAGGTGCTTTATATAAAATACCTCCCAGTTATAGATTAAGCCTATAATTTAAATATCCCCTTTGCTTTACACCTACACTGCAAAAACAATCCAGAAATAAGTAAAAAATGGCTTAAATTAAGTATATTTAGCCTTAATTTGAGCAGGTAAATAAGATGATTTGCCAATGGAATGAGTATTTTCACTCTTAAAATAAGATAGTTAGATAATATTTACTTGAAATAAGACGATAAAATATTTTTTTCTTATTTTAAAAGGAAATTGTCTTGTTCCATTGGCAAAGTGTCTTACTTATCTCCTCAAATCAAGGAAAAACACACTTATTTTAAGAAAAAATAACTTATTGAGATTTATATTTTTTGCAGTGTATGAACCTGTTGGCAGATCCCTGAGGCTGTTTTTTATTGCATTAGCAGCAGACCCTTTCATTTCTGTAGCTTCAAAAGGTCACATTAAGACTTCAGCCACTTTAGCCTTCTGAAGAAAGCTCCTTTCAAAATCATTGTATGCTCCCAACAGCTCTAGAGTTATAAATATACAAGCTACTCTGTATGGTACGCCATGGAAGAGCAGGTAAAGCATCACCTTCTGCAAGTTTAACTACAGTTGATGGTCTGCTGGATCAAACCACAGCGGTCAGCCTTTACTAAAAACATTATCATTCGACCTTAGCTCCATGGTTCACCATTAGTTTTCACATTGCTAAAATTTCAGACTCAATATCAATACCCAGGAAATATTCAATATCTGATAAAATTGGGATAAAATAACAAATATTTTATCAGCATGAAAAAGTCCCACTTTGCAATCTCTATAAATAAATCTAAATAATCTATAAATTTAAAACTAATAAGAAAAAATATGGAAAAAAATGCAAATGTAGGATTGTATCTGGAGAGAGAGTTTGAGAAATGAAAGTCATGGTTTTGGTTCTGTTAAGTTTTCTTTTGAGTGTTCAGTTTCACTGTGGTCCATGTTTTTCTTTGTTTTCTAGTTTTATTGGTTTTATTCCTATTTTGTTGTGTTTTCTGAGTATATTTCAGTTCTTAGCTATTTCTTGATTGCCCTCTTGTGTTAGTCTCCTTTTCTCTAGCTCCTTTCTAGAACCCTCTGTTCAAACCAGTTCCTAATCAGCTCATTAGTCCTGTCTTTGTTCAGTCACCCATATATACTCTCCCTGTGCCGTTCCTCAGAGCTGGTTCCTAATATTTTCCTGGCTCCTTGTGTATGTTGACCCCTGTTGTCTCCGAGGTTCTTTTTTTTGTGTACTTATTATGCTGGATTTTTGGATTCCTGCCTCAGTTACCTGCAAGTACTACATTAAAGCTACAAAACTCACCTCTGCCTCCTTGCATTTGGGTCCTCAAAACCTCAACCAAACCCTGACACTGATACTTTTTTGAGTGTAAATATTTTGGACAAACCTAATCCCCACTGCACAAAACAAAGGAGATGATTGGAATTAGAAGAAAAGCAAGAAAGGTTCAAACACAAACTATCATCAGCGAGTTGAGGAGATGAAGGAGTCTAAACACCTTGATGATTACCTGGACAACAGAACAGACTAGAAAAAAAACAAAACAATCAGGGTAAAAGATCCGAACAACCGTTTAATAAATCTGGTTCTGCTCTGGGAATCATCTAGAATCTCTGGAGGGTAAATATGCAAATGAAGAGACCTTCAGAAAATAAAGAACATTACAGTCAGGCCTGAACACCTTTATCTGGCTGTTTGGTATACAACAACAAGGTGCCTTCAGTCAGAGGCATCCGCAGACATGCTGGAATACTAACCACAGGAAACCATCTAAATATCCACAACCAGTCTATTAAAGTCGTAGGGAAGCGGCTGCTCCAACGGTTGCATTTCTGAATTCTCCTGAGTGGTGCCCGACTTTACACGACTGAATAAAATGAATGTGATTGGTCGTAAACCAAGTGGGGGGGGGGGGGGGGGGGGGGGGGGGGGGTTGTCGTGGCACAAGGTTTGCAAGCAAGTTTGGTTGTGGCCGGTGTCTCAGAAGCATCTTGGTAACCAGTTAGCAACTTAGTGCTAGCAGGTTCCCAATGGGAAATTCCATTGGGACCAAGTAGCACTAAATTGGTGACTTAGAAACGACACTGTCAAGGAACGCTATGGACAGAGGAAACATGCAAGAGGAGGAGAGTTTAGTGTCGGAGGTCGTGGATGAGTCTCCTACATCAGACACAGACGTCCATCCCCGTGAACACTGGGATGTAACTCAATGGTGAAGTAAATTATTCTTAATACTTATTTCAACCATTGCGTATTAGCTGCGATATATGCATTAAGATGCTATGGCAGAAAAATTTGATTGACAGATGACCTTTGAAATATGATTGGACAAATTTAGGTGTACAAGCTGACATATAACTAACTGGTCTGCATAAGATAAGGAAAAAAAAAATACAGATTTTAAGACAAGATTTTTTATTTTAGAATAGAAATGTTCTAACTTTTGGGGCAATATATCGTCTGATAAAGAGTACATTTATATACATGTTTAAGCCAGAATGATTTGAGATTTAAATAGGATTTCCCTACGACTTTAAAGAAACCAGTGTATTGTTTTCCTTTTGAGATCAATAAAGTGTTTTGAAAATGAACTGAATTTCCTTGCATGACAAAATGTCCACTTGCTGTTTAATACACATCAGTGGTAATGGATCCTGATCATGACAGTGGTCATAATGTTATGCCTAGCTGGAGTATTTACTGTTTATCAGACAGCACAGACAAACACACTTAAAAACAATTTCTCCACTGTGAGATCAATAAAGTAAATCAATCAATCAATCAATTAATCATCAATTAATTCAATCATTAAACACGTAATTCATAGGCTCCATGGGTATCTTTCTTTTTGTCAAATTCTGAATATTTAAAACAATAAACATGACTGGAAATAATTGAGACTCATTAAAATAATTGCATGACACGCTGCTGGTTTTAGTCAGCACTGTAATAAGTTCTGTTTCAATGTTTTTTTAGATAAAAGCAAATATGGACAATAACCTTGAGTAAGAGGTAATAGGGTAATAGAAAACGTTATGCTACACAGTTTGCCTCACCTGTCATGTCAACGCGCCTCTGAACCACCTGGGTCATCGGTTATTCAAGCAAACAGAAGCAGGAAATGCGTTAAATAGCTCCGGTTCGGTTCGACCGACACGGTGACTCAGAATAAAAACGGATATGCTGGGAGTGGAGCGCGAGGCAGGCAGGGAGGGAGGGGGTGCTGTCAAATATTACCTCTACAGCTTAATATCTAAGCCTATAAATAACATCAATGTTAGTCCCTTTTTTTCAAATGTCTGTTTATCATGGATTAGTTAACCATTATTAAAAAAAAAACCATCAGATTAAATTTTAAACATTATTAGGAGCCATTTTTTCCTAGAAAAAGATCGTCTACTTTGGACCAAAAACTAAAATATCCTGTTTTTATAGCCTATAAACAGATTCTAACCTGTGACCGCATCACAATCTGGCTAATGTACATATTAATGCGCCTTTCATGCGTCTCCTAGCAACCAAGCAGATGGGCTGGAGCTCAAACTGCGCGGAGGAAGGATAAACCAGTCTCTCCCAAGCAGTGGCGGTTCTAGGCCAAATGTATCACGGGGCCAGGAGGGGGGCCAGCGTGTTTTCATGGGGGAACAGAAAAGCATGAACTAAAAACAGTACAAGAGATTCAAATATATTAATAGAGCTGCATTAAGTGAAATTTCCATTCAATTAGGTTTAATTAAAATGCTATGTCTTATTAGGTCAATATGTATTCATAATTTAGGAAATTTTCATATTTTAGACCTAATTTAAGTGAAAATTTCTGTTTTCTATAGCCTGATAAACCAGACTAAATGTGAGATTAAATGTGTAATTTAGTCTGGCCCAGATGAATGAGACATCAGAAGACTGATTTTGAGAACAACCCGTTGTCTTTCAAACCATGTCTGTGCCTATTGGCCAACGCTCTGACCAATGAGCGCAACTGACAGTGTCGTAGGAAGCGTGACAGAAAGGTGATGGGGGAGTGTAAACAAGCAGCCTTCCAAAACTGATTCCAAAGCTAAGTCAAATGAGAACTGTTCAATAGTTGTTGTCATGTTCCTTGTTGTGCTTTCTCCAGCGTCGTGCAGCTTTGTCATCACACCCTCAAAACCCCGCCCACTTTGCATCCAAAAATCTCACCATTGTTATTGGCCCGCCAGCTCTAGGGCCCGGGACATTGGTCAATTTACTAGGCTATGTTTTCTATACAATCTGAATTAGAACTCAAGAAAAGCGACAAATTCAGCTGTAAATTTTTTTTTGTTGTTTTGAAAAAAATATTTAGCAGATGAAAACTGGAATCGTATCTCAATATCCCTGAATTGTTTTTAGATAATTAGTAAAACAGAATTTGTAAAGAAAAAAAAAAATTAAATAGATCCAAAGAACCTATCAGTGTCTGTTCCATGTCTGTTCCAGCGCATATTATCATTAGAATTTCTTTGATTATTATGTCTTCAGCACAGGGGCCATAACAGGCGCCAGAACATCATCTACAGGGGCACTGGCCCCCGTTGGCTCCTGTCTAGAACCGCCCATGTTCCCAAGTTTAAATATCACAGCTGATTCATTATGTTTATAAAGCAGCTTAGGTTTTTATTTTCTATTTAAAATAAAAGCGCCCTCATTCCCTTTTTTTCTGTTGGTTAATCCTCATGCGGTTATTAAAGTATTGGCTCGTGTCATCTTGCACGTGCAAGACACAGCAGCCCCAGCGGCGTTATTACATCATACTTGTTACAAACGGAGGCTGGCAGCTGTAATATGGGTCAGTGCAGTTTTCCCTGCTCACACTCATGTTTAATGAGTCAAAGCTGATGTCAGTGCTAAAAATAACCACCAGCGGCTCTAAATAAAAACAACAACAATAAAAAAAACATACACTGGTGATCACATATGACAATACGTCTTATTTGGCCATGTAACACATCTATAAAGAAATGTTTACATGATATAAAATAGAGCTATGAATTCAGTTACACATACTAACATTTTTGGTACCCCTCAGGATATAAAAAAAAAAATACACGAGAAATTACTTGAATTCTATATAAGAACAAATGAAAGGTCAGGCATTGCTTTTAAACCATGCTTCAAAGGAGTGATGCAATGGATAGTGAGTTATTGAACATTAATTGTGTAATTTATTTTTTTATGTAAATTATTGGTGAATTTTCTAAATGTTGCAGATTGTTTATGGATGTTTGTCTGTTTTGATTGGCATTGATTTTGGTAATGTTTAATTTTTTATTTTTTTGTTGTTTTTTTTGTACCTCATGGGCTGCCGTAGAAATGAGGGCGGGCCCTAAAGATGCTGGTGGGATCATTGCACTAATGAATGACTTGAACTGTCAAGCTGTTTGTCATCAAGCAATAAATCAACACTTAGTGTTCCCCAGTGAAAACAGTGAGGTATATTTTGTTATTTGTATAGTAAATTTATGTTTTGTTTTGTATTCTAGATAATATATTTAATATTTACTTCCTGGTAAAATAAAGGTTAAATAAAAAAAAATAAATATGTGGTAAACAGTTTAGTTTTCACGGTGACTAAAATAACTGCGATGACTGTGATGAGGATCTTCCTCAAAGAAAATAAAGGGCTTAATTCACCCGTCGAGACTGGCTGAGTAATTCAAGTGTTGGGGAGCTGCTACAGTGAAAACTCCAGGCTTCTGTGAGTCGATGAAGTTTGGATTGGACATCGGCTGAAGTTTGATGCTGTGTCGGAGTCAACGCCACAATGAGGAGCTGTCTTCGTAGTGGATTCAAGTTTGAATGAGAAACTGAATTTGAAAAGATGACAACTGGCCCGGTGAGAAATTGACTGTTCAAACAAAGCGGAAATAACTAGGAAATGATGTCACTTGGTTGATATTCATGAAATTAAATTAGTTTAAAGCCTATGTTTGGTCAAATTATATGCTTACTTATAAGATATGTAATTTAAAAACACAAGTTATATTAGAATTTTTTTTGTAACTAAATGTTTAGTTTGAATGTGGGTTTAATTTACTGTAAGGTTTTAAAGTTAAGATGTCACTTCCATGTGAAAAAGGACTTTCTGCTGAAGATGTGTGCACTGAAGAAAAGCCAAAAAGACAAGAGTTGGTTTCAGGTGCTCGCACAAGAAGGTTAACTGAAAAGGCAGAGCAGTACAGAGAAGCAGAGTCTGCAAAATGGATAAAGGAATTTCTTAAATCTTATGCCTCTTGGAAACAAATTGCCAGAGAAGCCAGGAAAAAATGAAAGGGTTTCCGCTCTCAGGAGAATCTGGATGAAATAAATTAGCAAGTTCAAAACAGACCTGAGAAGTTGAAACAGAATTATGAGTTTCTTCAACGTAATTCTTTAAATACTCCAGATATTGTACAGAAACTAGATGCCTGTACTATACTAACAAATGACATTTATGATCTTGTAAGTGTTCAGAAGCGGGTATTATTGAAGAGAAATGTAATCACGAGGTTGAAAAGGAAAGGGTGCGAGAAGTCTTAAATGGAGATTAATATCAGTCTGTTTTTGGAGAAAACTCTAATGAACGTTCTTCACGTATAAGTGGTTCATCAGTTACCAGCTCCAAAGATTCTTAAGGGTGTGTAATGGCAGAAGCAGATCTAGCAGCAAAGAGAGAGACTGAAGCTCAACATGCGAAAGTCAGTAAGCTTGAATGTGAATGAAAATATAAGGAGCGCAGATGATGGCAGGTCTGAAGCAGAAGGAAGCTGAAGTGCTACAGCAGCTTGATGAGTAGAGCAAGTTATACGGATATTGAAGTTAAAATGTCAGCAGCTCGGGTTGGTGTTTATAGCAGACTTGGAGACGGTGTTTTAGGGGAAAATCTTGATTATAAGCCTGATGTTAACTCAGTGCAAACTTTAAAAACACCTGAGAAAGTCAGCTGCATCATTTCTACACCCTCAGGTTTGCTCTGAGATTCCTGCAGTAAACTTGGTTGAAGCCTTAACGAGCTCCTTGAGTTTAGGTCGCCACCTGCAATATTCTCAGGAGACCCTTTAAAATTTGTTGACTTTAAGGTCTCAATTCCGACCCCGCCACCCCCCCCCCCCCGGAAATAAAAGAAAAAAAACACGTTAGAGAAATAACTTGAATCTGACAACTTTACTAATAAATATTAATTCTATATAAGAACAAATGAAATGTCAGGCATTGCTTTTTTAAACCATGCTTCAAAAGAATGATTTAGAACATTTACTTATAAACAGGTCTAGAAAAAAATTATCACATCCCTAGAAAATACTAGAATTAAATGGACACGTTAAATCCTGGTGTGTCCACTAATTAGCATCACAGGTGTCTACAATCTCGTAATCGGTGGATCAGTTGGTATTTTATATAGGGCTACATGTTAAATAACATGCTGCTGTCATTTTGCACATCTTCGATGTTGCTGCTATTTTCAAATATCCATTACTGTAAAAATGTCCATAGCTGCATATTGGTTATTTATTCTCCAGTTTTATATTGTTAAAACACTTTACAGTATTTTATTGTTCATATTTTAACTCTTCCGTATTATGTTATTTTTATACATTTTTCTAAGGTCCTCATTTGTGTGACCATTTTCAATAATCTTTCTGCTGCTGTAAATTTGCCCATTGTGGGACAATAAAGGGATTTTCTATTCTATTCTATAAAAGGGGTAGAAAGATATAAGTAAATCTGAACAATGTATTTATAAAAAATATATCTGCAAAATCTCTAATTTTCAACAACAAAACATACTTAGTTAAGCATATTGTGCAAAACAGCAATAAAAAGATAAAAATCCTATCAGATTTATAGTCCCCACCCTGCAGATATATTAGAATCTGTCCTTAAATTACAGCCAAACCCATTTACAGATTAAAAGCTTTAGATAAATTAAACATTACTGCCACATATCTGACTCAATAACCATTAAAACAACTATTTTCATTCATCTCAGACGGAACTATTCACTGAGTTGTATTATATTAAACTGAACTTCCAATTTTCACCACTGTTCGGCACCAAGTAACCTTTCCTCTGATCACGGCTTGCTTGGTCTCGCAATGTAAACCCTGGGATATCCAAGGATACCGAGGATACATCGGACCCGTCCTTCAAATCGGGCAAAAAGAAGGACGCATTTTAAGGCCGCATAACGAGGACTCTAGGAATCCGACCAGACCTCGGCGCCGCTCTATGACGTAATCGGCCTTCGAATCTGGCCTTCTAAGGACGCGTCCTAGGTTTTCGAACAGAGCATCAGTGTTCAGTCA